CTTTTGGTCAGCCCTGACGTGGTCAGGCAGTTGGACTTGATGATCATTGTAGGACCCTTCCAACTGAAATATTCTATTCTATTCTATTCTATTCTACTCTATTCAAAATGTATTTGGTGCAATTTTATGGCCCTTGCCCTAGCCTAAAAAGTCTATGGAAAATCTTCTCTGATAGAAGTCCAGTTTAATAAGTAATTAATGATTTAATGTGCCTTTATAGTCTCACTCAAACAAGTCTGTTCCAGCACACTACGAATACTGAATATCATCAGTTCCTTAAAAAGGGTAATTGCATTATTATCACCGATTTACAGGCGTTCAAGGAGAAAGATGAAGAGGTTAAGAATTCAGCTCTGCCACAAGCTATATAGGACAACACAAGAGGATGTCAGCTCCAAATAACTTGGAAAAAAAGCTGCCCTCTCACTATTAAGAGCAGATTTGGGACCAGTATACACAAAGCTTGTTTGAGGGCACACCATCATCCAGTGGGAGGGCCACGAATGGGATTCAGCTTCCCAGAGTGTAGGTTTTACCCCAGTCTCTAGACAGAGCATTCACAACCTCAGCAAAGGTTTTATTGAGGGCCATTTCTAACTGAAAGTCACGTTTTGTATTATCACCTTCTAAATCTTTGAAAATTCTGCACTGCTAATTCCTGTTGCCAGAGTTAACAAATTTAAATCACGAGAAACAAAACTGCAGAAAATGCCTCAATTCTGTTGATACACTCCAGGACTAATGACACTGTAATTTGTTTACTTGTATTACTATCAGTACTACAATGTAACCTGAAGACCCAATCAAGACTTGGACACCATTATGTTAGGCATGAAGAAGGAGGCAGTTCGTATCTCAAATTGCTTGCAATTTATCTACATGAGGCAGACAAAGTACAACTATCATTTTGCAGATGGAAAACAGAAGGAGTAAGCAGATTGCCAAAGACTTCCAGAAGCTTGCTCAATGAAATCTCTGACAAAAACATGACATAAACCGTTGCTGCTGGAAATGCATTTTGGTGCCAACGCACTACCTTATCTATTAATCCCATTACTTTAATATTGTGTCAGGTAACTTTTGAGACACAACATAGATGCTGGATGATACAAAGAAATTATTATATTTGTTATATTTCTTAACAAAGATAAAACATACAGGAATTTGACCACATTCTTCCACCATATACTAAGACCAGGACTCGGTTTCATGTTCTATCGCAGTCCTCCTATCTAATCTTCTGCAATGATCTGGAGCATCTATTTGTGTACCTAACTCAGGCTGTGCAAAGCTGAAAAATTAGCAGGTGATTTACAGTACCAAAGTTAGGCACTAAGGCGTCTTATGTAGTCAGAAAGGGCAACTAGGTACTTCTGAAGGGTAATCCAAAAATCCTGCTCTAATTGTAAAGCAGCCAAGAACTATTCCTTAGGGGAGAAAAAAAAAAAAAAAAGGAAAAAGATTTGCTTAAACTAAGAAGTTCCTTCTAAACTGTTCCCTAGTGAAGTTGCACCTTAAGTCCTGCTGCCACTGGAACTTAGGTCTGTCCATTAAGGCATCACAATGCATTCAGGAATGCACAAAGTCTGCTCCTGAGATTATGCATCTAGTTGCACAAGGAGAGAACAAGGCAAAGCTGCCACATATAACAGCCTAATAGCTGGAGCGCTGACAGCAGAAGTGTAAAACTCAGTCACAGTTCTCCTTCATCTTGAGGAGATTCCACGTCACACTTCCCACTTCTCCAGAACACCTAGGGTCGTCAGACTAGAAACTACACTGCTGAATCCCTACCTTGGCAATGCATGAATCATAAGACCCTGGAGGATGAGCAGACAGGACTCTATAGCTCTGCCAAATAGGGTACCAGCCTTTGGTCCTTTCTGGACTTTTTCTGCATGGACTGCCAAGACAACTCATGCAGACAACTTCCTTCTAAAACCCTTTTTCCCAAAGATGCTTCAGAAGCAAGCTACAGGCCTTTTACTCCTGTAGTGCCAGCAGTCCCCTCCTGTCCATGCTCTCTGCCTTCACCCCCCATCACACGGCAAATGCACATCTACGAGACTCCTGGAGAGAGAAGGGAAGACTAGGAAGTAAGACAAAATAGAGTCCACAGCCCACTCCTCGTTTGAGTCTTCTCAAAAATTTGTAACATGCTCTGGCAGAAGCAAGCCCCTTCTAGTCTCCTCCTCCTTGCTGGAAACTCTCAAGACATGAATAATTAGTGGACAGGCAATGATTTTCTATGCATGCACAAAAAACCTAGCCATTCAGGGAATCATGGAGCCAACCATGCTTGTGCTAAGGAGCTGTATTGCCACATAGTGTGTGCGTTGGTATGAGAGCAGAAGGGCCACTGCAAGAAGTTACATGGCATACCAAGCTGTCAAAACTAGGCACCACTGTATGGGAAAATCATTGGATTAAAAAACCAAAAAAGTACAAAATTAATCCCTGAAGACAGGGACTGGAATACAACTCCTTCAATACTCCTGCATGAGTGCCTGAACCAATTACTCACCCTCTTGCCTGCTTCTTTTCTTGCCCATGGCTCTTGCATTCCTCACTGCTGAACGTCCCAAGCTAAACTGGAGGGAGCAGGAAATTTCAGCTTTCTCCTCCCCCAGAATGTAATGGTTGCAGTTAAGGATGTGGCAAATACAGCTATGAACCTCTTCTGTTGGAAAAGGCAACTGAGCATAGGTGTGCCATATCTGAAACAACTGTTCGATTATTATATATAAAGTGGGCTCCCACAGGCCATGTTTTTGACTGAAACTGGCTGTCTCTGCTGTGCTTGATGCTGGATTCAGAGCTGTGCTCAGAGCACTCCAGTGAGGTTTGGCTTTTCTGGGGATCCAAATGATCTCTAGATCTTGGTGGAGTCCAGTCAGTGCATGGTTCCCTCACGTCCCAGACTACAATGCATCCCTACAGGTATCTCTGCCTAGTTCCACAGCAACACGTAGGCTGAACATGGAGACAACTTGTGAGCTTGACATGCTCCCAACACTAAGCAGCTCTGGAAAGCAGGAATTCTGGATCATTCCCTTGCACCTAGGTGTCTTATTTTTTCCTAACTCTGATTTTAGGTGACAAGACAGATATTCTGGATATCTCTGCAGACATCTCTGTAACTTAGCTACCCACTTCCTAAAGCAGTACTTACCGGAGTGTGGCGAGCATAAGCATTAAGTACAGTGAAGCCTAATAAGATCATTTCAAGATGAATCCCAGACATATCCAGAATTGCATCAGTACAAAAAGAAGTTATAATGTATTCAGAAAAATAGTTTTAAATTAAAACTTGACATTCATATGTCAGCCTTCCAGATGCTTTACAGACAACTGGAAGAAAATACTTTATCCACTAACCATGGGCTCCCTTTAAAAATATTACCACCAAAGACTGCTTAGACATTGCAACAGCACTGGAACTGAGATGATGAGCTTTTTCTGGTACCTGTTCTAATCTGGAAGTTAGAGAGGTTGCATAGCACCAACAGCAAGATATATGGAGGAAGCACAGTTTATGCTGGAGATTGATTTAATGAGTTTTCATAAAGTCTTTTATGTCAAAGCTAGCTTATGATAGCCTCATCTAAGATGGTATCTAATATCAGTGAGAGTATGCAGCATCTTTTTATCTTTCTGCATTTACCATTCACACTTTCTCTGAAGTTATCCAGCAAAGTTGTGCTTTGTGGGAGCCACCGGCCTCAAATTTTTTTGCCTATTTCAGCTCTGACATTTAAATTTATCTTGAACTAACTGGTGGTGGGAGGTGACAATTTTATTTCATAAAAACTTTTAAAGTTTGGACCGGAACAGAAACATATCTTTCAGCATCTTCACAAAAACAGTTTCTAAACATCTATTTTCAGATCTAAGTTACAGAGGAACGTCTGTAAGAGCTGAGGCTGACATGGGAGACCCATGTGTTTAACTTCTTCTAATTCAAACTAGAAATCCTCATCACATCAAAATACTCTGAATATACAAATGCATAGGAGCTTAAATCCAGACATCCTATATTCCAAGTCAGTGCACTAACTCGCATATAACCTTCCAAAGAGCGATATTACTGAAACTATACCAAAAAGCTTCTTGAAAATACAAACAGGTTTGCTTCATTAGTTGCATTTACCAGAAAAAGTTCCCGCCTTGCTCCAGCTGCAAGCTACAGAAGCAAGTACAAAACTGAAAGAAAGCGACAGTTACCAGTGAGAACTTTCCTATAATACTGAACACTAGAGGAAAACATTACCTCACATATCTAGGCCCAGATCAGTAGCTGTCAATCCCCACCTCAACTACATTTTGCCTTCTTAAGGAAAAGACTACATAAAATGGCAGCTCTTGCTGTGAACTTCCCAGCTGGGGACTCTGACCACAGAGGTCTTTGCACTCTGCTGACAATCTACATAACTATATACAAAACATAACATTACAAGCTGATTTAAAGGACATTTTCCCTCTGCGCAAAGGTGCAGCATAAACAGCTCCATTAACCAACTCGCCACTTAAGATTCATACAAGTCCATAAAGCAGATGTTAAATAGACCTTGTATTGATCTCTTCAATCCGGAATGAATTTTACTGCCAATACGTAGACATATGCTCTTAAGATATATACAATCATTAATTATCTGTATCGAGATCAGAGGCTGGAAAAATATGAACCCAGCATTTTCACTGTTTCATGCTTGATTTCATTAGCTAGTGTAATGAATCTTAAAGAATCAGGTCCGCAGCTTCATCTGTTAACCTCTCACCATTGAATGCTACACTTGGCAAATCTACTAGCATGCACATCTGGATACTGTAGCCTGAGCTGCTCAGCTAGAAGTGAAGTATTCAGGAACCCCCTCAGAATATAATAAATGGATTATGAATGACAGAACAAAGCAAAAAATACAACAAACACATTTGAAATGGCAAATCACTCTTGAATGCAAGGCAGTTGGTATTGAGAGAATATTCAGAACATGCCTTACCTGTGTAGTGCACCACACACGTCTGACCCTTCTTTGGAAATGTCCGTCCTGTTAAAATTATAAAAGGTTATTCTTTTATTTTCTCTGATTAATCTGTGTGGCTAGGCAGGTTTATCTTTTAAGAGGAAAATGCCAGACTGAGATTTGAGTTAACTATGCTTTACCAAATCACTAATATGCAAGACAGGAATGGATATGGTTTGGGCTAGAAGGTCCCAGCTTGGCTCCTATTTAGTTGTTAGACCAAATAATATTTTCCTTATGTAATTTCCCTATATAGGTGGGCATTATATATGCATTTACACTCTGTAAGTGCAAATGGACTGTCAAAACTGCATGGATTATAGCCTTAAAATTCTCAGAATGTCTTTATTATAATTTTTCAGATAAAGTCTTAGTTTGACATTGTGAAAAAATTCCATTTGTATTCACATTTCTAATGCCTTTCACTCAAGACAGCTCTAACAAGGGCATCTTTAATTAGCCGGGAAGGGTTTTAAAAAAATGTTCACATACAAAGGCAGTTTAATTTTGTAGCATCGGGCAACGGTAAAGCAGTAACACACTGAGTTCTTGTAAGAGCCTCCTAATATTTTCATACTGACAGGAAAGGAAGGCTTAAACAATTTTCTTGCCACTGGAAAACAAAATTACCATTTCCATTTTACCTGTTCTAGGTACTGTCAAAGGCACTTCCAGGCTCAATTAGGTGCCAATGGCATATTAAAACAGCTAACCTTGGTTTCTCAAGTTATGTTGGCCAGGGGAGGGACCAGGCTCAGAAGAACTTAAAAGTATGAACGAGACCAATTATTAAGGAACATCCTTGCCACAAAGCTAGAAACTGGGGATTCAGATAGAAACTGAGGCTCATATCTTAGTTGCCTTTCTGGTCTCTTTAGTCTGAATTAACATGATAATGTATGCATCACAGGGTGCATCGCAGGGTATAAAACATCAAGTAACACATAAGCTATGTAATTAGGGCTTATATGCCAACACCACCACGAGCAGTAAATGGCAGGAGGGCTAGTATGATCAATCGAGATTTATAACATGAAATTGAGAAGATGGTGCTTCCAAGCGTCATCTGAACAGCCTTGTTCATCAGGTTCTATTTGGCTGCAGTATCTCTAGCTGCGGGTTGCACAAAGCGCAGTACAACAGGTATTTGGTCAGGGCACCACTGTAACCCTAAAGTGGGATTCATCTAATTTAACTTTAGCCATCTAAAACACCAGCAACTATCATATGCCAGTCTCCTGGGCTTCCCCTATTGACAGTGGAGAATTAGCAGTGCTTTGAGAGAAACCCAGCCTATCCAGAGAGAGGCAAGATGAATTATTCTCTGGAGATGACTACAGAAAAAACCTAGAAGACTGCTTTAGGCTAGCTACCTAACCTGAGAAAAGTTATGCGAGATGCATCCTAGCCTTGGTAAAACGGGCTATTATTCCAATGATGTGCTATTATACAGAGATCTGAGAAAAGGAGTATCAAACCTTACTGACACATATTCTGCTGTGTTAGTATAACACCAGCAAAGTCAGTGAAGCTACATAAATTCACATCAAAGCTGAATTAAAAGCAGAGATTCTCAAGACCACTGACTAGCTGTGGTTTTAAGACAGTGTTTAAAGTCAGCTGATTTTGATTAAGACTTGCAACCGAGCAAACTAATCCATATAACCTTATTTGGAATAGCATATTGCTTACAAAGACAGCCTTGATATATTTAATAGCTAGAAAGTACTAGTACGAGGTTAAGTTCCACCCTTCTGTCTACTCTCCACCCAGCAACGTTACTTATACCCACGTAAGTATTCTGCTTTTACATCTGTGCAACCAAGAGAAGAATTTGACCCCCAGAGCTAAACAGCACAGAGGGAGAAGCCAATTTAAAAGCATACACAAAGAAAGAAAAGATACTGGGCCAAGAAAGTTAAGCCGAGATCGACTTGAACAAATTATTCACGGTTGGGTATCAGCCAAGGATGAATCTGGCCTATGATATAGATACATACGGCTGTATGTTAGAAATGACGTCCTCTTAAAAAAAACAACCCCGAACCCTTATGAAATGATGTTGTAACGCCACAGAAGCGCAGAACAGCGCGAACTGGCTCTGGCGAGGAGAGCCTGCGCCAAGCAGAGGTGATCGCCACCCGGGCTGCACCTCAGCCCTCGCCCCGCATCGCACGTTGGACCGGGAGGAGGCAGGCGGCCCGGCCGGAGGGATGCTGACACAAATGGCCGGTGCCCGCCGGCGAGGCTGG